AATGTACGGAAAAATCAATTTAAGACGTAATAAAACAGACGATGAACACTATTAACAGCAATTATTATATGATGCAATCAATTTAAACATAACGAATATGATGACGAATAAACATATGATGCAAGCAATTTAAACATAACATTTCAGAAAATTTGTAATGCAATGTTTGCTGTGTTGTTTGTATTCTTAATTGAATCAGTCAGTTGGGGAAGTATATGGTGACATCTTTTAGTTACATGTTTTACCTTACGGTATATTCACCAATACTTTAGGGGCTGATTAGTTGACAGCCCTTATGCTGCTGGTTTCTTCATGTTGTTTGCCATTGTTAAATTTATTTAGTTGTACTTATATATAATTTTCTATTTGTTAATATTAAAACTGCTTATCATTTACCAAATCTGATTCTTTAATTTCCTATAACACATCATTCAATTACGTCAGTATACACTAGGCTCTTTTGATTTGAGTTAGTCTCTGGAGTTTCTTGATGGATCCTGGATTCCCATCTGTATCTCAGCAGCAAAATTTAGTAGGGCAATGGCTGTGGGATCTTTTGACTTGTGGCAGTGTTTATATCTCCAGCATCCTGGAGCCAAGAGTCACCACAGTAATTCCACACCTTAGTGAATGTAAAACATCAAACAAGAATTAACTTGACAGAGCTCAAACTCAAAACACACGGCAGCACAGTGTGATACAGGAATACTTTACAACAAAGTACTCCTCTACAAAGTACTCCTCTCAAAAACTACTCAGAGTACTAGTTACTAGTTACTTTTTAGGCAGCGATATTTAATGAATTACCAAAAAATATTCACTCATATCAAAGATCTATGTGGATAATATAACTACTTTGAACAAAACCCACTTTTATTTTATTGACAAAGTACGTGAATTAGTGGTCATGATACAGGAATTTCTAACTTTAATACCTTGAAAAATATCAAAAGTTAAAGTAACCGTGAATCGGAAGTTGCAACTGACTTCAGTGTTATCATGTATTTCCAAGTGAAAGGTTGTGGCTAGAAGGGATACAGCGCCGACAGGAAATGTTTGAAATTTAACATTTTTGAAACAATTAAATTTTATTTTCTACCTATTAGATTGTTTTTTTATTATCGTCTACACCTACACGTACCCCAGCCCTAAACCTACCTCCTACAATAATGCAAAAAATATTAATTATTGTTAATTATTGTTGATGTGCGCATGCCCAGTAGCACCATATGTATCCCTTCTAGCCTTACCGAAGTGAAACTGAATATTGAATAAAGGGCGGGGCTTTATTGTGGTGCACCTCCACTCCACCTCTTGCTCATAGCAGTATTAATTAAATAATGCTCATAAATGGCTGTAGAGATAGTATTCTCAAGTGAAATAAATAGAGGCATGGACCCCGGAAACAGCAGTCCTTACGTCATGACTTAACAAGAGGATTCTCCCGAAGCCGTCAAACTGACATCATCAGACCCAGAATGCCATTCCAAGCAAAAATTTCAGTTTTTGATTAAAGATTACATCGGCAGACAATTTTTTTTTCGGTGTATTGACTTCCACGGTTTAATTGTTCACCACAAGACTAGTAATGTGTACTAAAAAAGTAAGTAGGGTCATTTTTGATTTCATGACGAATCAGTTTCAATACCATTGGCAAAACTAACACATACTGTATACTGCCATATAGATATTTTAATATCTCAATTTTTTTTGTCCATCCATTTTTTTTTTCCAAGGCAATCATTATTTCAAGCTTTGAGTGGTTTAATCCAAATCTTCTAAAAAGACACGTTCGCTTTATATGATGAACAGATTTTAATATAGGCTTTTATGTAGATACATATAAACATTGATCATTTACCATTACAAAAATCTCAATCTTAAAAATTTGCTCATTCTGTGTATTTGTGTCTTTAAAATAGGGTAACTTTGTTATTTTCTCATTCTGTGTATTTGTGTCTTTAAAATAGGGTAACTTTGTTGCAAAAGCTTACAGCAAAAGGAAGCATGATTTCAATTTTGATTTCAAACTGAATTGAATTTACAATAAAGGATAAGTACACAGTCAGTAATAAGATTATAAAACAGATTACCTCAATTCATTTGAGGTAGGTTACTCGAAATATGACAACACTGAATTTTCATAGGCACTGTTTTAAAAGCCATACATGTTATTTATTTAGATAAAAGGAACATCAGATGGCTTTGACCTGTAATGTCTGTACAATGGAGTGATGCAGTTAGACAGACTAGGATATTTATATGTACAAATCATACAAATATCCCATTCTGAAACATTTCTAGCATACTTACATTGTAAAGAAATTGAAGTTCCATCTTTGATAGCTGAAAGACTTTCTGGTGCATTTCACTTACAGCCAATAAAACTTACAGTAGTATTTTCATCGGTCAGGCATGGATCTATAATTTTGACAAAGTTTAATCCAGGAGCAAAGATAAATAATTTCTAGCATGGAGAGATCGCGATTACACAGTCTGAGTGCGCACAAGCAATATCGGAGTGAGAGGACAGGCAGTTCATTTGTAAATTAGGCCTATTGAGAGCTCGCATCCACTTTTCTGCGATTACATGACTGTGTTCTCATGTTACAATAAAGTGCTCGCCACATTTGCGCGGGAATGATTAAAACTATGCGGAATACCTGCAGTCCCGCGCGGACATTCAGACTCTGTAATCGACAGGAGGTGGATGCGTGTCAAACTCGCTGTCGGAGAGAGAGCGAGACGCAGCTTGTATCGGTGTATATTCGGTAGATACTGTGGAAAATGAGTAATGGAACCGTGTCAGATATTTCAGTATCGGTATCAACATATAGATATTTATGATAACACTACCATGTAGGTTGTTTCTCCAAACTTTGAGTCCATAAATTACGTTGAGCTCCCTGATCAGCTCTTCACATGCTGCAGCAACAGCGGCTTTTCCCGGTTCAGATATCAGGGCTGTTATTGGTCCCTTTACGATCGGATCTCTTTATTGGCTACTGAAAAGCCAAAGGTTTGAATATCAATTGAAATTGTGGGCGTACTCAGTAACGAACTATGGTTTAAAAGTAAGGAAGTAGATTATTTTGCATAATTTGTATTTAAGTACAAGTAAAAGTATAGCTTTAAAAATATACTCAAAAAAGTACAAGTACCCGAAAAAACTACTTAATTACAGTAACGTGAGTAGTTGTAATTCGTTACCTCCACTGGATATTGGGCCTGACTGGTTCAGAAAGCGGAATCTTGTAAATTCACAGTCCTCTGCCCTGTTAAACTCAGCCACTTTCCAGTTTTAGACTAATAATATTGCCCCTTCTGCCTATTATGAGCAAAGACTTGATTTACACACATTTGATAGCCCCATTCATTTCAAGCCAATACGTTTATTACACAGTTATGTTATATTATGTTATACAATCATTATAAAATACACATTATATTCATATAAATAGATTAGTCTATGTGGAAATTGATTTTCCCCCCCACCTTTATTTCTAAGCCTTAAATGGCGCAAAACAGTGTATCATAAATTACATCAGGTCGTCTGTAATGTATGTTTGTTTTACACTCTTTGGCCACCAGGCGGCATTGTGAGCAAATGAAGCCTCGAGAAATGAACCCTTTTGTGAACCACTTGGATGAAAAGCTTCAATGCTTCAAAAGGCTTCATCTCGCCATCACTACAAATCGGTGTTGTTTTGAGCAAATGAATTGCATTCGCGCTGAAAACAAGCGTTCTAGCGTGAAAATGCTTGGGAACTAATGTGGTCGGAACCAAAGTTTACAGGACTGCCTTCTTTGTAATCCTCTCAAGCAGAGGATTTCTTCATTTCGATTGGTTGCCGCCCAACCGCGTCATAGCTCATTACCATAAAGTTGACCTGGCTTCAACTCCCCTGGACGCCCTCACCGTCCAAGACGCGCGGACTGATGTCCTTTTTTTCAAAGGACATCAGTGTTGTAAGAAAAAATGACATGGATGTTGAAGATCTCGATGAAGATGTTTATTGCAGCATAGCAGTGTCAAAGTACATGTAGTATCTTGGGTTCAATGGAGTCGGAATTAACCCAGAACATCCTAAACTTAACCCCTTTATACAGTTACAGTTTACTGCCCTTAATGTAAATGAAGTTGCTCCTGTCGTAACAGCTGTGGTCTGTATGTTAATGAAGTTCTGCATTGTCTGAGATGGTTCTTGGTGTCCTTCACCCATTCCCATTCTACAATTGGCCACCATTTGCTCAGGATGTCGTCCCAAATGGTGCAGAATCAACATAACTGTTGACTTTCTTCTCCTCTATAATAAATAAGCCATTTTGGGAAATGATCAGGATCAAACAGCTGTAAGGAATGAAGGGAGTCATAATTTGGCTGGGAGTCATCCAGCATCATCTCGGGCTCTTGTTATAATACATTTAAGAATTATTTCCATAAGCTGGGCCTTTTTAATCAGTAGATATAGTTTTGTGATCTTTGGTTGGTCATAATCCTGAAGTGTTTTATGAACCAGGAAATCTCAAATATGTCCTTTATATTCTTCTTGCGTGTTGAGCATTCCTGATTATTTATCTGCATGCTTTGATCATGTATTGGACATTTGTTTTGGCTTGATTATAAATACAATAAAAAAAAAAGCCTGCTGCATCTGATAAGATCGGCCCAAATTACAATTCAGAAGAAAGTATAAGCTTCTATCAGTGATTTATGTATTTCTATATTATACTGCTTTTCCTATAAAACATATAACTGGCCATCTATTTCTTATTGTTGTAATCAATAATATATTTGATTATATATACTAACATTTGTATCAAATAAATGCTACTGTAATAAGCTGTGCCATGTCATATGATTGTTCAAAGGACATCAGTGTGTGTGAAGGAGGGGAGGCAGATTTCATTTCAACTGCAATTTATTTGTATAAAGCTTTTTTTCAATAAACAGTTTCAAAGCAGATCGCAAGAAAAGAGAATCAGAAGAGAAACGGAAATGGCAGTGCTGAAGAAAAGCATGTGCTGCTTCTGCTCTTCCGGGTCGTTTCCTCACCGATTGATGCAGCTCATGCTCTGTGACATTGAGACAGAAGACAAGCATTGCAGCATTATAGATTTGTATTGAGATCTCTGAGTGAAAGTATACAATGAACCAACTTTATCAAGGTGTTGAAAATCAATCCAACCCCTTAGAGAAAATAATTGTCAAAACTGATCAAAAACTGTGTTTGTGTTTAACAGAATCCCCACTACTCTAATTTGTAAATAGAAAAATAACTAAACATCAACAATAAGAATAGTTTTTTACTCACAAACTCTTTGGCAGGAGTACGTCACTTCCAGGTACTTATAGACGTATTCACACGGATCAGAGAACACCGAATTTGAAGCATCTAGATAACAAGACCTCGTTCCATTGCACCTTACAAAGAAAAAAATATTATTGCATTAATTTTTGTTAATTTTACATTGTATGTTACTTAAGTGGTTCTAATCTAAATGGATGATGTTTCTGCTGTACCTGGAACTCATACTGGCGGTCTGTGTAAAGTAACAATCTGATGTTGTTACATGTTTATCAGGGCAGGTTCCAAGATCCCGCCGTCCATAATTGGCATGATGAACAGCAATAACACCATTCTCTGAGAAAGAAAAACTGACGTTGATGATGATAATTTCATGGCTAACCATCACAGGTAAAATATGTTTTACAAGAAAATACATCAGTCTTTTTATTTAAAAATGTCACATTTCATTAAATGTTACTTGCTGTTTCTTTGTAATTATTTGTGAAATTTACTAGCTCTTTCAGAGCGAAAATTATCACTAATTTTTTTAGTGTGCTGGTTAAATTCACACACAGTTCGGTTATTAACGTGAGTGACAACAGCATGTCAAAGCTGAACTGACCCCTAATGATTAAACATATGCATAAAAAAGACCTTTGAGATGATTCTTACCACAGGAAATGACACTTTGGGTACCTTCACAAGTTATGCTTTGTTCTAGAATGATTTAGGTGGAAAATAGAACAAGGGTCATAAATATTAGCAAAAGGATTTGATTGTTAAAGGGTTAGTTCACCCCAAAATGAAAATTCTGTCATTAATTACTCAGCCTCATGTCGTTCAAAATCCGTAAGACCTTCGTTCATCTTCGGAACAAAAATTAAGATTTTTTTTATTAAATCCGAGAGCTCTCAGACCCTCCCATAGACAGCAACGCAACTGAAATGTTAAAGTGAAACTTTACCTTACGCTGAAACTTAGTATGGACTTCGGTAAAACAGTTCTTGTGACATCAGTGGTTCAATTTAAATTTTGCGAAGCTACGAGAATACTTTTTGTGCGCAAAGAAAACAAAAATAACAATTTATTTAACAATTCTTCTCCCCCGAGTTATGTCTTCCGCCATTTTGGAGAGTACCCAAGAACGTAATCAGCGTTGTTTACGTTAGGGGGGAAAGCACGCATGGACGTAATCGGCGTAATCAGCGTTGTTTACACTTAGGGGAAAGCGTGCGTATGCGTTGTGATACTCTCCAAAATGGCGGAAGACAGTAACTCGGGGGAGAAGAATTGTTGAATAAAGTCGTCATTTTTGTTTTCTTTGCGCACAAAAAGTATTCTCGTAGCTTCGCAAAATTGAAGTTGAGCCACTTATGTCACATGGACTGTTTTACCGATGTCCTTGCTACGTTTCTGTGTCTGGGAACATTTCAGTTGCGTTGCTGTCTATGGGAGGGTCAGAGAGCTCTCAGATTCCATTAAAAATATCTTAATTTCTGTTCCGAAGATGAACAAAGGTCTTACAGATTTTGAACGACATGAGGCTGAGTAATTAATGACAGAATTTTAATTTTGGGGTGAACTAACTCTTTAAGATTACTTATCAACTTCAAACTTTAGGTTGGAAATTATGCGTGTAAAACCATTGACTTACTAAATGGGCGACACTCATAAGACAATTGCAGGTATTTATAAGTCCAATGACATGGATCAGAGAAAACTGAGTTCACTGCAGAAACAGAACAGCTTTTTTTCCCATTACACCTAATTCATGAACAGACAATGACAAATACTTAAAAACGAAGATTTGAAAGGGTTACGGTTTTTCATGCTTTTGCAAAGTAATACAATTTTTTTCTGCTATCAGTTAATCCCACCTTACGGACATCGTACGGAGGGATGTTTCTTGGAAGCAGTGAACATTTGAGAGCTGCCCAAATGGTCTCCCAGCAGAGCATATTGTGCCATCAGTCCGTCCATAGTTGGCATCAAGGACATGTATGAATCCCCAGTCTAACACAAGTAAGAAGACCATGAGAATCATTGTAAAATTTAAACACACTGCATTTGAATCTTGATTACTCACCACAACTGAGGAACACAGATCCTCCTTCACAGGTCACTGATTTTTTCCCTTTATTACTTGCAGACAGGAAACATGCTGTTTAGGTGAGAAAAGTAAAATTACTTGAAATAAATAATTACGTTTTGTCCTGTACTGAAAAGTGTGGCTTCTAACAGCTTTGTATATTAATGGGACATTTTACCATGTTGACACAGCAACAGCAGCACTGTAAAATCAAACAGAAACAAATACTGTATTGAAAATACTGAATCTAACAAATTGAATCAAAAAAGAAAGAAAAAAAAAAAACAATACATACAAGTGATCCCGCTTAGCTTTTGCAACAGCATGGTAGATTGGTACATGTGAACAAAAAGAAAATCTTGTCTTCATATGAAAAGTTACATTCGTGTGCAGATGGTATTTATAACAAACGCAGCAGACCTATCACCATCTGTTGGCTATAGATAACAAAAGAGGAAATTACAGTTACACTTCATAATCTTGTTTTAAATGTTGAAATCATAACAGGTTTCCTACAATTCTTGAAAGTACCTGAAGCTGGTGTTCATAAAAGAGTGGGAACCCATGAGTATATAAACAACATTTTTTAGCATTGATGATCTATAGGGAAAAACTTAACCCATTACAAACACCACACATTAAACATCCAGGTTGGATGAATCACTTGATGAACAGCATATTGTCACGTGTGCTGATTGTGAAAGGCAGGTTCCCTGAGTTGTGCCATCTTTTGATGAGTGTTGAAATATGATATATCATGTATGTGTATGCGAAATTAAAGATTGGCTGCATCTTTCTCTGACAGTTTGGTGTGATCTTACACATTCATACTTTGACGCACAGATGTTTCTTCATCAACGGTTTTTCAGACAAAGTTATTTCTAGTTTTAGCATTTCTTAATCTGCATTTTATATCTATTTTATATATAAGTGACCACACTTGTCTGTACAAACTGTGTTCCCATTTGCATATGCAATATTTTTATTTTGTTTCTTTATGAGTAGAAGAACACATGCAAATTTGTATCATTGGTTGTTCATGTATCTATAGCCACACTTAAAAATGTAAAAAATTTGCTACAATTTCACGTGTTAATAAAAAGTACCTATTCACACAACATGCTGTTGCTGTTGTTTTAATGTAAAACCCTAACAGAGGCTTCACTCCAAAAAAAGATGGCTCATTACTGATTTTCTGGAGCTCAGCCATCCAACTACACACTGTCAACACACTCTTAACAGGTAAATGATTTCTTTCTTAAAATGTCTATTATAACTTTCAAATTGTAACTGGTTTCCTACCAATTATGTCTTTTTCTCTTCTTAGTTTAAGAGAACATGTAAGTGTGACCAGCCCTGTTAAAGGGGTCATATGATGCGATTTAAATTTTTCCTTTCTCTTTGGAGTGTTACAAGCTCTTGGTGCATAAAGAAGATCTGTAAAGTTGCAAAGACTAACGTCTCAAATCCAAAGAGATATTCTTGATAAAAGTTAAGAGTCAACCCCACCCTCCTAAAACGACTCATTCTAACACGCCCCCACATGACTACGTCACGATGTGGGAAGATTTGCATAACGCCGCCCAAATGTTCACGCAAAGAAAGAAGGTGTAACTTTTATTCTCGCTGTAGTATTGTTGTTGCCGCCGCCGCCATGTTGTGAA